TATAGACCGCGCGAAATGCGCAACACCATGGATCCCGTTTGTGTGACGTGTGTATTTGACATATTTTTTGTTATTGGAATCCTTGAGTTAGATTTTTAGTGTGACTGGGGGCATGCGCACTAAATGATATGCGTGCCATGCCAACTAAATATATATATATGGATTCATATATGGATTCCAAATTCCAGAAATGGGTGGAAAATATGTAGGTTGAGCTGTCTGCCTGTCTTTGTCTTCAGTACCACTGAAAGTGCTTCCCGAAAACATATCTCGAAATATGTTTGCGGGAATCACCCATCAATGTAAAACAACTTACGTACCGTACGGGTTGCTCGTTAAATACATAAAGTGTAGTGTAAAAATAGAATAGGCGGGCGCGTCACGCCAGGCGGTCACGAAAACAACCGTTGCTTCGAGCAGAAAAAACGAGAAAAAATAATTCTGAACGTACCGTACGTACAGTACGGTACTGTAATGGAAGTTGTTTACTCGGTCCTAATTCACGCTTTCAATACTTTTGTCCCGCAGCAGTACCGGTACCATACGCACCCTGTACCACTACTTCCCGTACGATCTATCAAAAGCGGCACTGCGTGAAGCTCGAAAAGAATCTCGCTAGGACCAAAAGGCGAAATTGGACATCCAAAGCCAAATTATCGGGATTCTACATTCGGTACCTCTTGAAATAAGAATCGTAAGATATCACACGCACCCAAAATGGAAGTAGATTCTCCTCCGCGCAATCAATCCCCTCGGATTTTGAAACTGGTGGAAAACTTGGCAGATATTCGCGAGCGACCGAAGACGATGCTGACTCCTGAGACGAAAAGGACGAGGACGATGGAAGATCCTCCGATCCGGGGACCATTGACACCCGAGGGGGAAAGCACCGCGAAGGTACCTGTTCTTTCATCTGGTGTAAAAGTGGAGTACCCAACAAATATTTCGATGCCTTCGCGAAGCGTGATCGAAGCACTCTACAATATATCTCTTCAAGAAGAGGAAGAGGAAGAAGAAGATCAAAAGCTTCGAAATGAAATCCACGAGAAATCGGAGTACTATGACCAAAAGTACCTGAAGCCTGCGGGTATACTGTCTTTTGAAGAAATTTTGTTGCCTGCTGTTGGTTTAGCAGAAGAGAAAGCCCTCAAACAAGCACAATCGAGAGTACAGCGCGATGCACCCGAGTATACGTTTGCAATGGAAAACTGTCGAAGGCTCGTTCGTAAAAGTATCCGTAATGCTATTCTCGAAGTACAATCGTCTCGCATGACACGAACTCGGTGTCAACAAGAACGAAGATTAGAGCAGGCATTAGAAAGGAAGCGCGTACGGGAGCGCCGCCATCGGGAACGTCTTGAAGAAGACGAACGCCGGGCAAAGGAACGGGCTCTCAAAAAGGAGATTTCTAGAGCTGAGAAGAGACGACAGCTTGCACGGGAGTATCCAAGGAACCAGGACTTATGGAAGGAGATTGTATTTCTGACTTCCTCGGTAGCGCAACTTGAGAGAGAAGAACGAATGTGGGTTCAAATTGAAAAGAATATGGTGCAACTTAAGGACAAAAATGGAAAGGAAGAAGAACTAAAGAATCGGTCGAATCATCCTTTAGACAGTAATTTGTCCTCGTCATCATCTGACGTGATTGTAGTAAAGGCTGATAAAAGTCCGCTCCACTTGAAGACTGAGGAAAAGGTAAAGGACATTGTCTTGGCCTCGACTCGTATTCAGAACGGGTTGGGAATGATTCTAAAGCTCTTGGATGCGTCAGAATTCGTTCAAAAAAGTTTATTCGACGAATATAGAAAGGATCATGCATTCCATGGATACCAAGGAATGGACAATCCAAAAGGAATTATTCGTTTCTTAAGTCAAAGCCAAGACGATCTTCCAGATAATCCAAAAGGAATCATTCGCCTATTGAGTCAAAGTCAATGATTGTCCCTAGAATTTTGAGATACAGGGAGCTGAATTTGCTGTCGGTAGAAGACAGCTAATTAGGGCTTTTGGGGGGTACATGATTGTCAATTGTGAAGAATTTTAATTTAAGTTTCGATTACAGCAATAGCTGCTATTTCTTTTCGAGATACTAGGTATACCACCGAGTGATATTTGAATCATACGTCTCTCTGTTCCCTTCAGAAAAAGTTCGACGGTTTGCTTTCAACCCAATAGTTGTAACTGAAAGCAACTAGTTGCGATTATCACAGTCAGAGTACATTGATCACAAAAAAAGGCCATCGATACGCTTGCTTGGCTTTAGTATAAAACGCGTTGTGTAAGGAGAGTCCGTCATAACGAAAATACCAATCAAGCATCAATGTTCCGCATTTTTCCGGTTTTGGGATCCCGCACCCAAGTCCCAGACGGTGACGACCTATTACTCCATGGTTTTGGTGCTTTGGCTGATCTCGGTTTTGTTTGATCGGTTATTCCAGATGTTGTTGGGGGAGGTGGCAATTCATCTGCCCAAAGATTCATCATTCCATCAATCAAACACTCTGGGTCTTCGTCATCGCATGCCACTTCTTCGTCGGATACCACATCTTCACTGTCGTAGTCATAACCGCCAGACAAGAAATTCACCACACAATCTTGGACATCTTTCTCGCTCTCTCCAGACAAATTGCACAAGTCAACAAGTGTACTTTCGTGGCGTTCGAGAATTCTTGTTCCACGCGCAACCTCAATCACAAGCGGATCTTCCTCCGGAACGGCGGCTACTAGTTTTTTGCTGTAAACGAGTCCAGGGAAGCAATTCGTTGAGTCATCAAATCTACAAAGAACATAACGCAAACCATCGCAATAAATCAATATCTAATTTGACCCCACATAATCTTTTGCAACCGTAAGAACGGATCAAACTACTCACATTTTTTCAACATCGGAATTGATTGTGCCGGTCAATTCTCCAAATGATCCAGTCACTCCCACAACGACGTCGCCCACTCGCAGACCTGCTTTCTCAGCATTGCCTTCTTTGGTGAGCTTGCTGATAAAAATCGAGTCGTCTTCTTCGTGGAGGCTTTCCTCAATTGTGCAACCCAATGGTAGGTGATCAATTAATTCAATAGTGAGTAATTCGGCTCCTGGAAACAGGGTCTCAATTCGAGAGGATGTTTCTCCTACGGTGCTATTGGCCGTTCCGGTCTCATCTACCTTTGCTCCCGACGAGAGAGCAAAACCCCGCGAAAAATTGCGCCCATCCAGTTCATTCATGGACTTCGAAATCGATGAAATATCATTGTGCACCGGATTCCTTGCTGTAGTTGCAGACGTGGTCAATCCCTTCGATGAATAGCATCGATTACACGACGACGGAACGAAAGCCACTGCATTCATCGAAAACCGATAAACGGTGCCGAATGACATCCACCCAACTATCATCCTCAGACTGCTCTTCATGTTCATTTTCGTAATAGGAGGTACCGATCCTGGGAGATTCTAATCCTTAACTGCAAGACTTGTTGGAAGATGTTTTGGTTGTTTTCGTAAATCCTCGTTTTTGAGACAAAAATCTAAGAAACTCGAACACCTTAACTTTCATCATCGCATGAACTTTCTCGTCGGAAGTGTGGTACCGTAGTATTCGACATCATCAACAACAGCAGCTTCATTACCGCATCGAATTCTGTCAGGAGCCCGTTCGAAACGTTGTTCGGCACGTAGCACCCGTAACTTTCTATGCAAGTCACGAGTATTCCACGATTTGAAACGGTGAGAACGGACCAAGAAGTGGGAAATGACGTCAGCAGCGGAATGTTCTCACAATTAGTGCCTGTATGATTGAAGTCGTCTTCATAAGGTACCGTACGGTACTTTCGTACCTTACGGTGCGTCTTAGGGATGCGCAACTCAACAGTCACCCTAAATGAAGTTTGAATGCCCCCATAGGTACTGTCGCAATATGTCTGAAGTACTGGTATCATTTTGACGTAGTAGTACTAAAAAAAGAAGAAACTCTTGATGACCAAAATGAAGTAGTAAAACATAATCTTGATATAATTACCTGGTAGTAGTAGTACCACCAATATTAGTTCAACTACTAGTACTACTAGTAGTAGTATGGGAACCAATTTACTATTTGAGGAGCACCAAGAACAAGAATCAATTGTGCGTTTCTACTGGATTCATATGAGTAGTAGTAGTAGTAGTAGTAGTAGTAGTA